AGCCCTGTAGAACTTCACCGAATCACACTAAATGTTCCAAATAGGAAGGGACCCACAAGGATCATCTAGTAATCCTGGACCAAACCCCCCCTCACAAAAAAGGACACAGTCCGGTATCCCTCGCTTTTTGGCGCAATTCCAATCCCGGTCAGCAGGGGCCGCTGTTGGATCACCAGAGGGGCAGAGCCTGCAGGGGCTCCCTGACAAGGGCGATTTTCGCCCCCCACACCGAGAAGGGCAAGAGAAAGGGGATGTTTCTGCCTCATCCAAGGAGAAGGATAAGGAGAAATGTCCCCCTGGAGCAGCTCTCTGTCTCGAGGAGAGGAGGAGCCTGGGAGGTGTTGCCCTGCCAAGCCAAGCACTTCCAATCCCCACCAGAACTGGTGCAGACGACCCCAGGGGTTGGCTCGAGGCAGATTCCTGAACACAGGGACAAACCCAATGGGAGTTACAGGGGTGTCTGTAAACCCCATGTGCTGTGGGGGGTGCCAGCGGTGTTGGGAAGGGAAAGGAGGAGAACACGGTGAGAGCAGGAGCTGGAGGAGCAGCCCCAATGCTCCCAGCTCCCAGCCCTTGCCCAGCCCAGCAAAGCCCAAGCAAGCCCAGCCTGGAACTCCCAGCCCCATTTGACCAGCTCAGAGTTCTGTCAGAGAGAACAGGCTGGGCTGGGCAATTCTCCCTGGGCACTGGCTGTGCTGGAGCTCCCTGGGCTGGCTGAGGGAGGGCCTCACTGGGACAGAAGTTCTGCTGCTGTTCAGCTCTTGCACATGAGGTTTTAGAGGGAAAAAGGAAAGCTCTTTATTTTCCCTGCTGGCTGCAGGCCCTGCACAAGCTTCTGGCCCTGGGATACAGGAGAGCTGCAGGGAGCTGGGCCCTCTGCCTTCAGTTTTGGTTTGATTCTTTTCCCCAGTGGTCCCTGCCCCACCAGGGGTCCCGGGATGCCCCATCTCCATCACCCCACAGCCCCACAGCCCACAGGGATTGCTGCTCAGCTTTGGCATCTCTCTCTGCAGGCCCCTGCAAGGATAAAAAGGCAGAGGTGGGAGGCAGAGATCCTGCACAGATCTTGTTTTCCATTCTCTGGGCCACACAGTGAGGATGCTGGGCTGAACCTCCACACCTCACTCAGAGAGGGATTTTTCAAGCCCAGCCTATAAAACAGTGACTTCCATTTCCCAGCCTGGCCTCTCCCAAGCTCTCAGTAGCAGAGCACAGCCAGAGTGGGGAGGAGCTGTGCTGGTTCCACTCAGGCCAGCTCAGACACTCCATTCTTGTGTCCAGGGGATGGGAGCCAATGTGTGCCTGGGTAAGGGATGCATTTGGTTTCTCCCTCCTGACTTTGGCATTAAGCACAAGAACCTCTTTGAGAAAGTCTGTGTCTTCTCAACAGCTTTCCTTGCCTCATTTGACAAAGGAAAGGCCTGAGTGGCTCAGCTGCCTGTGAAATGAGGGGAGGATGCACCGTCCTAAGGTAGCAGGGCTCAGACAGCAGCAGCCAGCATCAGAGTGCAATTCCAGTCTCAGATTTTCCTCTTCATGTCCCCAAATCACTCACCTTCAACCACAAAACAGTGGGTGGCTGCAGCCAGGAGGAGGAGCGATGTGCTCACCAAGCCTATCATGAGGTCCTGGGAAAACGTCTGGAAGCTGTTGGGGAAGATGAGTGGAAGCAGAGAGTAGGATATGACCTCAGACACAAGATAGATCCCAGCTGATGAACCTCCCAATGCCCTCGTGGGGGCAGCTGGGCAGCCTTGGCCCAGTGCTGAAGGACTTGGGTGGGAGGGAGGGAATCCCTGCCCTTCAGTGGCTGTGCCTGCCTGGGAGCTGAACCCACTGCCTGGGAGGAGAAAGGCACAGGCTGAGAGCCTGCAGCTCTCCCAGGTACTGCACACCCTGAGACACTGTGGGGACCCCCTGAACCACCCTCTGTCAACTGTGGGCATCAAGAGATGAATGCCCTGGCCCAGCTGTGGCTCTGGATTAAATCTGACACCACCACTCTCCCCTTGCTGTGATGCAGGGGCAGGAGAGCAGCAGGATGCTCTGCAATGACTAGGAAATTGTCCCCAGTGGTAGTAATAGGGTGAGTCTGAAAGAATGCTGAGGTTGAAAGCAAAGATACTGCTGAAAGCTCCACGATAAACACAATATTTGTTGCTGAATGTGACCAAGTTAACGGGAAACTGGGAGACAGGAAAGGAGAGGAGTGAACTGAGCTGTCAGGGAAACCCCTGCTCACGCAGGTGTGTTTTACAAGGTTGTCTTACCGACCCCAGGATAACCAGAATTCCCCCCAGCAGAGGCTGCATCCTCGGAGGGTCAGCAGCCTCACAAAGATAGCGGTGTCTCCACAAAAGGCAACGTTGTCCTTCCTGTGAAGCTTGAGAGCCCCGAGCATGAGCCACCTGCATTTTTATCCAATGAGCCGGTGACGTCTCCCTGGGCCGGTGTGGCAGCACCGCCCAGCCAGAGGCCCTCGGTCCCTCCCCCGTTCTGTGAGTGCCCCCCTTCAGCCATGCGGGAGAACGTGGGGATTCCCCTCGCACTTGCGCTGTTTCACTCAAGGGGTCTGATCTTTTTGGGTCTGGGGGCTTTACTTCATCCTCTTCTCTTTGGTTTCTCCTTCAAATGTCCCCTACAGAGAACCAGCCGATCACAGAGCACCAATTAAAACAGTTTATACAAGAAACTCTCTCTCCAAGGATGAAACACCTGTTTATCAGTGAACTTGGCAGGCAAAGAACAAAACTTTTGCAGGTGGCTGGGCCAAACACAGACCAAAACATATCAACAATCCCTGATACACCTGCCCTGATTTCTGTGTTGAAGATGCTTCTTCAGCACTTCTCCGGATCTGCAGGGGCAGTGCCTGTGTGCAGAGCTGGAGGGAAGAGACTCCCAGCACAGCAGCACAGCCAGGGACAAGGGCACTTGTTCTTTCCACATCTCAGCTCTCGGAAAAGTTGGGGAAGGTTGAGAAAGGTGTTAACAGGGTGGTTTTGCCTGAGGTATTAAACATGGGAGCGGGTCTATCTTCCCAATTCCCAAGAGAAGAGATGGCAAAAAGCTGCCCTGCAGGTTGAATTTGAAGGAAGAGGAAAAAGAGACCGAGGGTAAGGGGTTTCTTTCCTGGAGGGCAGGGCTGTCGTTCGCTTGCAGGAGCCCCGTGCTGGAATTGTCAGTCCGACTGCCAAATTGGAATCTGGACAAAGATTCCTGCCAGACAAAAGGTGGCAGGACAGAAAGCTCTTGCTGCCCATGGAGTGCCCAGGGTGTCCCACCAACTGCACCTGAAACCGAAGGTGACAGGCTTTCTTTCCTGGGGAAAAGGCTGTGACTTCACAGAGTCCCATGGCAGATAGGTGGGGCTGCACTGTGGGGGTGTGGGACGTTGGTTCTTTGGTTTCCAGGGGCTATTCCGGAATGGAGAGGTCAGGCTGGGACATCACAAAGGGGCACATGGGTGGGGCTGCATTCTGACCTGGTGGGGTGTTGGTTCTTTGGTTGCTAAGGGCTATTCTGGAACAGAGAGTGTAGGCTGTGACATCACAAAAGAGCCTCAAGCACATGGGTTGGTTTAGTGGGTTGACCCTGGTTGGATTTCAAACTCCCACTAAAACCTCCCCCTCCCTCTGCAATTCCACAGAGGAGAGGAAAAAAAAAAAAACGGCAGAGGATTTCTGAGTAGAGATAAGGGTGGGGAGAAAGTCACTTACTAATGGGCAAAACAGACTCAAAGTAGGGATAGTACTTAAATTTATTACTGACAGGATAAAAGCCAAAGAGTGAGAAATAAAACAGTCTGAAAAACACCTTCCCCCAACCCCATCCCTGCTACCTTCTCAGCTCTCCCACCCATCCCCCCCACCCCAGCAGTGCAGGAGAGCGGGAATGGGGGTTACATTCAGTTGTTGTTTCTGTCACTGCTCAGGGAGAGGAGTTGGATCCTTTCCTGCTCCTGGGGGGTCCCTCCCACAGGAGACAGTCCTGGATGGACCTCTCCAGTGAGTCCACCCTTCCGGCAGCAGCTCTTCCCACCCTGCTGTCCCGTGGGTCCCTCCTCCATGGGGTCAGTCCTTCAGGGATGAGCTGACCTGGCGTGGGTCCCCCACAGGGGCCACGAGTCCTGCCTGGGAAAAACCTGCTCCAGCCTGGGCTTCCCTCTGCACGGGCTGCAGGTCCCTGCCAGGACCTGCTCCATCCTGGGCCTGCCCCGGGGTCACAGCCTCCTTCCTGCATCCCCCTGCTCCAGCGTGGGAGCCTCCAGGGGCTGCAGGGGGGTCTCTGCACCCCGATGCTCCCCCAGGGGCTGCAGGGTCTCAGCTCCAGCACCTGGAGCAGCTCTTGCCCCTCCTTCTGCACTGCCCTTGGGGTCTGCATTGCTCTTACCACGTTCCCGCTCCTCTCTTCCCTGGCTGCAATTCCTTCTGGCCCTAAATCTGTTATCCCAGAGCTGTTCCTGTTGCTCCTGATGGGCTCAGCCTTGGCCAGCAGCAGCAAGTTCATCCTGGAGCAGCTGGCATTGGCTCCACGGGGCAGGGGAAGCTTCTGGCAGCTTCCAACAGAAGCCACCCCTGGAGCCCCCCCACTACCAAAACCCACCCACAGAAACCCCTGACACCCAGTGACTTCCACTTGCCCCAGGATGGTCCCAGTTCCCAGTAGTGTGATCCCAGTCACTCCCAGTTCATGCCAGTTGCCTCCAGCATGCACCCTGTCACTCCCAGTTACTCCCAGTTGCTTCCACCATGATCCCAGTTGCTCCAAGAATGTTCCCAGTTGACTTCCAGCACGGCCTCACTGGCTCCCAGTTCCCCCCTGCATAGTTCCAGTCACTCCCAGTTTGATCCTGGTCCCTTACAGTCACTCCCACTATGATCCCAGTCACTCCCAGTCACTCCCAATAGGATCCCAGTTGCCCCCATCGTGGTCTCAGTTGCTCCCACTCCTCCAGGATGGTTCCTTTCCCTCTCAGAGTCTCCCAGTCTGAGTCCAGTATGGCCCCAGGCACTTTCGGGCACTCCCTGGATGATGCCATTTGCCCCCTGCAGGGCCCCAGTTGCTCCCAGTATGATCCCAGTATGATTCCAGTCATCCCCAATATGACCCCAGGAACTTCCAGACACTTCCAGCAGGAAGCCAGTTTGTTCCCACTCATCCTCAGTATGGCTGCAGTCCCTCCCACACATTCCCAGTATTATTGCAGTCACTCCCAGTAAGACCCCAGCAGGACCTCAGGAGGGGCCCAGCTACTCCCACTATGATCCCAGTTGCCCCCAGCATGGTTCCAGTTGCTCCCCTTCACCCCTACTATGGTTCCAGTCACTCCCAGAACAATCCCAGTCAATCCCAACCCCTCCCAGTATATCCCAGTTGCCTCCAGCCTACTCCTAGTCAGTCCCAGTATGATCCCAGTCTCTCCTAGTAGGATCCAAGTCACTCCCTGCATGGTCCCAGTTGCTCCCAGTCACCCCACTGTAGTTCCAGTCTCTCCCAATCCCTCCCAGTATGACTCCAGTATGATCCCAGTGACACCCTCTATGGTGGCAGTCACAGCCAGGATGAACCCAGACATTCCCTGTCACTCCCAGTATAAAGCCATTTGCCCCCAGCAGGGTCCCACTTGCTCCCACTCACCCGACTACAGTTCCAGTCCCTCCCAGTAGGATCCCTGTCACTCCCAGTCTCTCCCAGTATATCCCAATCAACTTCAGCATGATCCCAGTCAGTCCCAGTATGTTCCCAGTCACCCCGGTCTCTCCCAGTATATCCCAGTTGCCCCTAGTGTGGTCCCACTCACTCCCAGTTTCTCCCAGTAGCTTCCAGTATAATCCCAGGTGTTCATAGGCACTCCCAGTCACCCTAGTGTGGTCCTAGTCGCTCCCAATATGATCCCAGTCACCTTCACTGTGGTCCCAATTGCTCCCAAGATGATCCCAGTTGTGCCCAGCATGGTCCAACTTGCTCCCAGTTCCTCCCAGTGGGATCCTAAGAGCTCCCAGTTACCCCTAGCATAGAACCAGCTGCTCCCAGTATGATTCTAGTCTGATCCCAGTATGGCCCCAGTAGGGGCCTAGCTGCTCCCAGTACGATCCCAGTTGCCCCAGTTCTTGTCCTGCTAGGTCTAGTCCAGCTCTGGGTGTATCCCGGTGTCCCCCCTGCCCCCCCAGCCCGCTGTCACCCCCTTTTCTCTGCCCACAGAGCTCCTGAGCCGCTGGCGGCCACAGCCCCTCCCCGGGGCCTCGGGCCCAGCAGGGACCCCCCAGTCCATCCCCACCCGCAGTTTGGGGGGGGGGTCATGTGTCCCCCCGGCCCTGCTTTTGTTCTCACACCAGCTGCCTGCTGCTCCCAGTAAAGCTTCCCAGTTCTCCCCAGTCCTGCTCATTGGGGGGCAGTGGAGGGTGGCTCCGAAAATCCTGGGAACGGGTGGGCTTGGGCAACCTCAGCCCCCCTAAAATCCCACGTATCCAGGGCACCACAAAGCCAAACGCCAGGAATCCGGGACACCCCAAAACCCACCTTGGACCCCGCAGGCCACAGGCAGGGTCAGCAGCAGCAGCAGCCAATGGGAGCGAGCGAAGCTGATGCGTCATCAGTTCCCTGACCCCCTGACCCGTGTCCTGCACACACAGGGGCGTTCCAGAAGTTGAAAAAGTCCGAGTGTCACTTCATCAACGGCACCGAGCGGGTGAGGTTGGTGGTGAGGCACATCTACAACCGGCAGCAGTTCGCCCACTTCGACAGCGATGTGGGGATCTTTGTGGGGGACACCCCGTTTGGGGAGTTCCAGGCCAGATACTGGAACAGTAAACAGGAAACGCTGGAGTACCTGCGGGCTGCGGTGGACAGGTACTGCCGGCACAACTACAGGGTGTCCACCCCGTTCAGTGTGAACTGTAGAGGTGAGCACGGGGCAGAGCGGGTCCCCTCGGGAATTTTCCTGTCCCGGGAATGACCCTGGAGCCCCTGAAACCCTCTCTGGGAATCACCCCTGACGCCTCAACCCTCCCTGTGCCCATCCTCGTGGCCTTGTGTCCCCTCCCAGTGCCCCCGAATCCATCCCAGTCTCTCCCAGTGTCCCCCAGTCCATCCAGGTCTCTTCCAGTGCCCCAAATCCATTCTTTTCCATTCCACTTTTTCCCACTGCCCCTCAATGCACACCAGTCTCTCCCAGTGCACCCTCTCATTTCCACCCCGCTGCTGCCACCCCTCAGCCAATCAGAACACAACTCTCCAATGACTCATCAGTTGCTTGGCAGATCCACAGAGCAGAGTTCCCTCTGCAGGACTCAGCCTCCCAGTCCCGCTCGGGCCCTTCCCAGTGCGTTCCCAGTCCCTCCCAGTCATTCCCAGACCCTCTCACTCCATTCCCAGTCATTCTCAGTTCTCTCCCAGATCTCCCAACTCTCTCCCCAGTGACCCCCATCCCATCCCATCCCATCCCATCCCATCCCATCCCATCCCATCCCATCCCATCCCATCCCATCCCATCCCATCCCATCCCATCCCATCCCATCCCATCCCATCCCATCCCATCCCCTTATACCCCATTCCCAGTCCCTCCCACTGCCATCCAAACGCTTACCAATGCCCTACAAACCCTCTGCCCTCTCTCACAGTGTCCCCCAGCTCAGCCCAGTGTCTCCCCCAGCTCAGCCCAGTGTCTCCCCCATCTCTCCCAGTGCCCCCCAGCGTGTCATCTTGCTGGTGCCGTCAAGCTCCCAGTCCGGCCCCGGCCGCCTGCTCTGCTCTGTGATGGATTTCTACCCTGCCCGGTTCCAGGATGGGCAGGAGCTGCCGGAGCACGTGGTGACCACCGACGTGGTCCCCAACGGGGACTGGACCTACCAGGTGCTGGTGATGCTGGAAATCCCCCCCCGGCGTGGGGTCACCTACACCTGCCAGGTGGAGCACGTCAGCCTGGAGCACCCCCTCAGCCGGCACTGGGGTACGGCCCGGCCCCCCCAGCATGGGGGGACACTGGCAGGGGGGCCAGGGGGCTGGGGGAGCACTGAGGACACCGGGAAGCGCTTTGGGGGGCAATGGAGAGGCTGAGGAGGAGGTGTCGGGGTCTCTGGAGGGCTGAGAGGGGCTTTGGGGAGTCCTTGGGGTAACTGGGAGGGAGTTTGGGGGAGCCTGGGTTGGATGGGAGGGAGGCAGGGGGAAGGCTTGGAGTGACTGGGAGTGGGTTAGAGAAGTGCTGTGGGGTTGGAAAGGGACTGGGAGGTGTTATGGGTTGTTCTGGGGGTCATGGGAAGGGGGTTGGAGTGTCCTAAAGGGGATGGGAGGGGCTTTGTGAGATCCCCAAGGGGCTGGGAAGGGACTGGCAGGAGGTTTCAGGGGGTGCTGGGTGGGCTGGGGGAGACCAGGATGGAGTTTTTGGGGGGTCTTGGGTGGTCTCTGGGAGGTTTTGGGGTCCTGACCCACCTGGCTCCCCCCAGAGATGCCACAGGACACCGTGCGCAGCAAGATCCTGGTGGGGGTCGGGGGCTTTGTGTTGGGTTTTGTCTTCCTGGTGCTGGGGCTCGGCTTCTACCTGTGGGAGAAGGTAAAAGGGGGTCCCTGGGGGTCGTGTCCCCCGTTCCCTAGAGCGTGTGTGCCCTCCCTGCCCCCCTAGACCTCTGTCACCCCCTTTTCTCTCCTCACAGAGCTCCTGAGCCAGCGGTGGCCACAGCCCCTCCCCGTGGCCTCAGGCCCAGCCAGGACCCCCCAATCCATCCCCACCCGGAGTTTGGGGGGGTCGTGTGTCCCCCCAGCCCTGCTTTTGTTCTCACACCAGCCGCCTGCTGCTCCCAGTGCTCCCAGTAAAGCTTCCCAGTTCTCTGCAGTCCTGGTGTTGAAGGGCAGGTGCCTTCCCAAAGCCCAGCCAGAATCAGCTTATGCCAATTGTACAATGGTTGGCACCCGTTGTGTTTCTGCTTCCAGGAGTGTGTATTTTTCTGCCATGTCTGGTTCAATGTTTTTGAAGCTTATTGGCTCAAACTGTGTCTGCTTTGTTTAAAGAAAAAGAGGGAAGTGTAGGGATTTTTAGTGCTAATATAGAGGATATACTGCAGCTGTGTAGCAGCTTATATGTAAAACATGTAAAAACAGTCAGTATCGTAGTGTCTGTATAGTTGGCAGCCAAGTCTTTCATCATGCCGCTCTCACGGGAGTGGGGAGGCGGTGTTGTCACTGTTGACGCTCCGGAGGAGCTGGAGTGGCTGCGGCCATGGCCTAGCCCGCACGGTGGAAGTCATGTCGCTGGTCATCGCGCGGGCATCGGCACGGCCCGCGCCGCGTTATGACGCATGTGCGGCTGTCCCGGGCCGCGCTGCTGCGGCCGCGTGGTTCGCTTCAGGGGAGCGGCGACACGGGCGGCTGGCTCGTGTAGTGGGACGCGGCCGTCAGTTCCAGGCACGGCCCGGCCGCTGGCACGGGTTGCTCGCGCTCCAGGTGCAGGCGGGCGGCGAAGGCCTCGCAGCTCTGCGCCACCGACATGTGTTCGCCGAAGCCGCCGCGCCGCCTTCGGCACCCTGCGCCAGCTGCATTTACAAACTTGCACCACAGTCCCGGCGCAAGCCTGCTCGGCCGCCCGGGATGGCCGCGGGGCCGCCCCGCGGCTTCTCCTCAGGCACGGCGGCCGCCCCCCGGTCCGGGGTTCCAAGCGGAGCTCCGCCGAGAGCTCCACGCGGGTCGGGGGTGCAGTGGCAGTCGCCGCCAGCTGCGGCGGGGCATCCGCGCTCGGGTCACCGCCTCCCGTTCTGCCGCGCCTCGGCCGGGCCTCGGCCCGCTTGCGGGCTCCGGGCAGAGGCGTACCGACTATCAGTAAGGGAAAGGACATAAAGAATGTTAAAGAAACAGAGCTGACAGAAGAGTATTGTTAGAAAACTGGATCAAAGACTGCTGCTTGATTCCAATCAACGGCGCTCTCTGATCATCACATTGCTGTGCTGAGTCGTCCCTGCTCGCATGAAAACCCCCCAGGCAGGTGCCCTCCCAAAGGCCCCCAAACATCCCCAACATCCCCAGTGATATCACCACTGTCCCTGTGATGTCACTGGTGTTCCCAATGATGTCACATCTGTCCAATTGATTTCATTGCAGTCCCTGTGATGTCACCAGACAGCTGTGATGTCACTGGTCTGCAGTGATGTCACTGCTGTCCCCAGTGATGTCACCACTGTCCCTGTGATGTCAGTGCTGGCCCCAGGGGTGGTCCCTGTGTCCCCAATGATGTAACCACTGTTCCCTGTGATGTCACTGCTCTCTCCACCGATGTCACTGGTGTCCATGTGATGTCACTGCTGTCCCCAGTGATGTCACCGATGTCCCTGTGATGTCACTGGTGTCCCCAGGGGTGTCCCCAGTGTCCCCAGTGTCACCACTGTCCCTCTGATCTCACCGACATCCCCAATGATATGATTGCTGTCCCTGTGATGTCACCGCTGTCCCCAGTGATGTCACTGGTCTCCACTGATGTCACTGCTGTCCCATGAGGTGTAACCAATGTCCTCAATGATGTCGTTGCTGTCCCTGTGACCTCATCACTGTCCCTTTCATGTCACTGCTTTCCCTGTGATGTCACCGCCATCCCCAATGATGTCACTGCTGTCCCCACAGGTGTCACCACTGTTCCCTGTGATGTTACTGCTGTCCCCATGGGTGGCCTCTGTGTCCCCAATGGTGTCATCAGTTCCCTATGACGTCACTGGTCCCCAGTGATGTAACTGATGTCCCTATGATGTCACCGGTGCCCTGTGATGTCATCAGTGACACCAATAATGTCACTGGTGTCTCTGTGATGTCACCCTTGTCCTTGAGAAGTCACCACTGTCCCCTGTGATGTTACCGATGTCCACGCTATATCACAGCTGTCCCTTTGTTTTTACAATTCCCCTGTGATGTCACTGGTCCTCAATGATGTCACCGTTATACCTATGATGTCACCACTGTCCCCTGTGATGTCACCAATGTCCCTGGTGACATCACTAGTCTTTCTGTGATGCCACCAATGTCCCTGTGATGTCACTGCTCTACCTGTGATTTCACAGCTGTCTCCAGTGGTGGCACCATTTCCCCATGATGTCACTGATGTCCCTGTGATGTCACCAGACCGCTTTGATGTCCTGTCGTGGTTTTGCCCACCAGCCCGTCCCTGGGACTGAGGATGGTTTTGTCCAGGTGATTTCCGGACAAAAAACCAATCAAAAAGTTCAGTGACGCCTTTGCTAATTACATCTTTATGAAAACGGAAGAGAAGGTTGGTTGCGCAGTTGAAATTAGGAGCAGCAGCCATGTAGAAGGGTAGTGGGCCCGAGGAGGGCCAAGGCCCCCTCCTCCCCCGGCTTGGGCCGGGGGGGCAGGTGCAGCACTGAAGCCTCCCTTCTCTCTTGTGAGAGAGTGAAGAAAAAAAAGGGTTTAAAAGACAAACTGCTTAGACGAGAAACCGCTGCAGAAGAATTCCAGCCATGAGATAACAAGACTTTCAAGGTCAAAGCTGCAGTCGCAGGAGAGAGAAGAAAAGTTCAAAGGGGGGAGAACTGCTTTTTCTCCTTTTCGCTCTCCCTCCCTTCAGCAGGGTAAAGACTGAAAAATAAAACCCTGCCACCTGTAAAAGTTTACTGGGGTGAAGAGACCCCCGTGCGGCTCACAGAGGAGCTTGTGGATGTACCAGAGATTTGTGACTTTAACAGAAAGAGAAAACCTTATGCTGGAGTAAAAGCGGCTCAGATGAGGCAGAGTTCTGTTAAAGACTTTGTAACCCTCGAAGGGGATGATGCTTATGCTGGAGTGAGACGGCTCAGATAAGCTCGGGATCTCAGTGAGAGATCCATGCTACTAGTGCTGAAGATTTGTGACCCTGAGAGGACCTACGCTGGAACAGAAAACGGTTCGGGTAGGGATATTGGGATTCATGCTGCTGGTGCTAGAAATTTGTGACCCTGAGAGAACCTACGCTGGAGCAGAAAATGGCTCAGGTAGGATATTGAGATCCGAGTAAGGGATCCAGACTAGACCCATGCCGAGAAGTCAATCAAGGACTGTTCTCCCATGGGGAGGGACCTCCATAGGGAAACAGGGGTGAACTCTTAAACCATTATCCCCTGTAACCCTGTGGAAGAAGATCCATAGTAAGCAAGTGTCCCCTTGCAAGCCTATGGAAGGAGACTCTTCAGGACCTGAGTAACCCCCAGCCTTCGGTTTTAGCCAAGGAGGGGGGTAGGCCCAGCCCTGGAGGCTGACATAGAGAAGAAGGAGAAAAGGTTCCAACTGCGACGAAAGTGCTGCAGAGTTACTTAGAGAGAGAGAGAGCTGGAATTCTGAGAACAGAAAAAGACTACTTCTCCTCCTTGGACTGATATAAAGGGTGGTGGGGGGAGAAGTATCTTCTGTAAATACATAATACCTTTTACTTAAGTAGATATAATTCTTTAGTTTTAGTTTGTTAATAATAAATACTCATACTTTTTTTCAATTCAGTCTCTTTTTGTCTGCATAAACCTTCTCTCAACTGATAGTAATTGTATTGGGAGGTATAAAAGTAAATTGAGCCAGGGCAAAACCACGACATGTCCCAATGACCCTGGTGATGTCCCCAATGATATCACCGATTTCACTGTGATATCACAGCTATCCCTTTGGTGTCACCATTCCCTTGTGAGGTCACTAGTCCCCAGTGATGTCATGGATGTCCCTGTGATGTCACCAGTGTCACTGATGATGTCACTGGTGTCTCTGTGATGTCACCCTTGTCCTTGTGAAATCACCAATGTCCCCAGTGATGTCACTGATGTCCATGTGTGGAGTGTTTAGCTGATAAAAGACACACTGTGGACAAACCATACTAATTGGCCTCAGTTAGGCCTGCCCCTGACATAGCCAGAAGCCTCTTTGCAGGCAGTGGAAAGATACAGGAGCAGTGATAACAGACTGCAGGAATGTAAACAAAGAGAAACCTGTGACAAAAATAAGGAGGAGTTTTAGGAGAAAAACAATGTCTTCACATCACATGGACATCTGTGTGCACCCAATAGGAAGTGTGTCAGTAATGCACGCTCGGTTTGTGGGTTACAGCAAATAACCAATAGTTTGAAAGTGATCACGCCCCGGGGGGGCAGTGAAGGTATATAAGAGGTTGGGTTATGTAAATAAAGCGGAACATTTGCATAAATCATCCTGATTTGTGTGCAGTTTGTTCTGGAAACTCCTCCGCCAACATCCACGTTATATCACAGCTGTCCCTTTGTTGTCACCAGTCCCCTGTGACGTCACTTGTCCTTAATGATGTCACTGATGTCCCTGTGATGACACCTCTGTCCCCTGTGATGTCACCGATAGCCCTATGACATCACGACTGTCCCATTGTGGTCACCAATCTCCTGTGACATCACTGGTCCCCAGTGATGTCACTGCTGTCCCTGTGATGTCACCAGTGTCACCGATTCTGTCACTGATGTCTCTGCAATGTCACCTCTGTCCTTGTGACATCACTGCTGTCCCTAATGATGTCATTGATGTCTTTTGGAGATCATGGCTGCCCCTTTGTTTTCACCAGTCTTCTGTGATGTCACTGGTCCACAATCATGTCAGTGCTGTCCCTGTCATGTCACCACTCTCCCCTGTGATGTCACCAATGTCCCCCATGATATCACTGGTGTCTCTGTGTTGTTATCCAGGTCCCCTGTGATGTCACTGATGTCCCTGTGACATCACGGCTTTCCCTTTGTTGTCACCAGTCCCCAGTGATATTTCTGGTCCCCAGTGATGCCATTGCTGTCTCTGTGATGTCACCACTGTCTTCAACAGTAACACGATGTCCTCGTGATGTCACTGATGTCCCTGTGATGTCACTGATGTCCCTCTGACATCATGGCTTTCCCTTTGATGGCAACAACTACCTATGATTTCACAGATTCCCCTGTGATGTCACCACTGTCCCATGTGATGTCACCAATGTCCCCAATGATATAATTGGTGTCTCTGTGTTGTCACCTCCACCCCATGTGATGTCACCAATGTCTCTGTGACATCACGGCCTTCCCATTGCTGTAAGCAGTCCCTTGTGACATCACTGTTCTTCAGTGATGTCACTGCTGTCCCAATGATATCACCACTGTCCTCAGCAGTGCCACCAGGTCCCTGTGGCGTCACTGATGTCCCCAGTGATGTTACCAGACCCCTGTGATGTCACAGATGGCTTTGTGCCATCATGTCTGTCCCTTTGTTCTCAACACTTCCCTGTGATGTCACTGATCTCCAGTGATTTCACTGACTTTCTTGTGATGTCACCCCTGTCCCCTCTGATGTCACTGATGTCCCTGACATTGTCACTGGTGTCACTGTGATGTCACCCCTGTCCTTGTGAAGTCCCTGAAGTCCGCTGTGATGTCACCAATGTCCCTGTGACATCACGGTTGTCCCTTTGTTTTCAATAGTCCTCTGTGATGTCACTGGTCCCCTGTGATGTCACCTTTGTCTCTGTGATGTCACCACTGTCCCCAGTGGTGGCACCCTGTCCCCGTGATGTCACCGATATCCCTGTGATGTCACTAGACCTCTGTCATGTCATCGATTTCCCTGTGACATCACAGCTGTCCCTTTCTTGTTACCAGTCCCCTGGGATGTCACTGGTCCCCAGTGATATCACCCATGTCTGTGTGATGTCACCACTGTCCCCTGCGGTGTCACCAATGTCCAGTGATGTCATTGCTTTCTCTACAATGTCACCCTTGTCCCTGTGAAGTCACCAAAATCCCTAGTGTTGTGACCGATGTCCCTGTGATGTCACCAGTGTCACTGATGATATCACTGGTGTCTCTTTGATG